GAAAATGGGCACCTAAGCAGTCTAATTTCATTAGGCGTCCACAGACATTACTGGTTGAGCATTAAAACTGCATGGAAACAGAATAGTTTTTGTAAATGTATATTCAAAATTATTTGAGTAATTTCCTGAAGTTATTTAGAAGTATTTTTCTATTAGTATTCATTATTTGAATTGTGGAATGTTTGCTCAGCTCAAATGAATGGTGTGGGGTTTCTTGAATGTGTGAGAATAACATTAATTTCAAATTTGCTTCCTTGAAATATTTGCTTAAAATTTACTAATTTGGTGATCACCCTCACAAAGTGATTTAATCTCTTAAAATACTTGTGGAAAATAAATATTATGGGGAGTAAACTCAAAGTATATTTGTTTAAATATTTACAGAAAACACAACTCTAGTAGAGATTAAGATAAAGCAAATAACATGCTGTTCATTAAAGAAATCAGTTTTTCATTACTTTAACCAGTCCTCTGATTTTTTTTTGTTTGTTTCTCAGTATAGCCTTTTTTTTTTTTTTTTTTTTTTTTTACTTCAGGTTATTGTCTGGGATAATATGCTATACACTGAATGTATTGACTTAAAAACTCCATTTTAAAATAAAAATGCCAACATAATTCAGATGTTTCATCTTTAAAAAGTTGGGCAAAATTAAATTCTTTGTAAGTGTTCATTCTTGTTCAAAAAACCCCCCTCCCACATCTTGGCAAGTTTTAACATTTCCTATAAAATCTTTAATTAAAATTTTGAAAGTAGGGGCTGTGTTCCAGAACTGATGAATGTTAAATATATCTGCTGGTTCAGAAAGCCCTCCTCTGAAATAAAGAGTCCTTGCAGCAGAGAACAAAACATCTAAAGCCAAACTGTGACACTAACATTTTCTGAATCTGATTATTCTCTCAGTGCTTTTAGTTCTGCAAAGATGACCCGATGTAGAAAGAATTTTTGTCTGTCAACAATAGTGAAAATGGCCTCAAATTTTACCCTGTGGGGAAGTAGTCACATGAAAAGAAATGTGTTCACCTTTAGTTTCTTATCCATTTTATTATTTATATTTGCTTCTCTTAAAGAGAAAAGAGTTTTTTAAATCCAGTTGTGTTCCCTTTGCTGTAAGTGTGGTCTTAAATGTGTATTTCAAAATGTTAATCACTTATCAGCTTTCTCAAATATATAGTAGATTTTCAGAGTTTATGCATCAGTCTATGAGTCGGTTTGTTCAAGAACTCCTAAGCGGTAGGAGCAAGGGCCACCAAATTTGGTAGGCAGCTCTCTCGTCTTATAACTTAAAGCAATGTCAAGGTTTGATTGAGCTAGAAAATTGGGATGTGCGTGGAATGTGATTGTTTCTCATCAGATGGAAAGGGAGGGCTGTAATAGCAGGGACAGTTATATTCATGAAGGGCTACAAGGGGGCAGCAAACATGGGGAACCCAGAATGACAACGGCGGGCAGCAAGCACGTCAGCCCTGCGGAGCAGCCATTGGTCAGTAGTACAGCCTCCACCACTCCAGCCTGCCCTGTGGTGCAGTTGCTGGCCAGCCAACGCGACCCCCTGCTGGCTCAAACTGGCCCCACAGAGCAGCCGGTTGGTGGGCTGCGCAGTCCCTTCTTCCACCCTACTCCCAGCCCTGGGGAGCAGCCAGCGGGTTCCCCCACCCCATCCCCTGACTCCTGCACACCCCTATCCTCCTCCCCTGAGCTCTTCTCACCCCAGCCTCATGCCCTGAGCCCACCACATCCCCAAGTCCTTGTCATGACTCCTGCACACACCACATTCCCAGATCCCTGGCCTAAAGGACCCAAATGACACTGGGTAAGTCTTCTAGTGTTTAAATATTTTTAGTTTATGTTTTAATATCAGTGTAGCGCCTGGAAGCAAATAATCCTGGGCACTTCACCAGTTTGCATGTACGAAGCAGGAAGGTGGAATTCTGCTAAATTTTCCAGGCACTTATTTGGCAGTTTTAAGACGTCTAGAGCTGTGATTTTTTTTTAAAGCAGCAGGTCATGCCCCTTCTTTTAATGTTTTAGCATGCATAAAACATGAGTTTCAGTGAATCAAACAAAAGCGGGTTTGCTAATCCAAAGCAGTAGAGTTCATATTGATTTGTATACTCAGAACTAAATTAAGTAGTCTTTAACTCACTGTCCAGTGTACATATTGCACTCAGTCCCTTGTTGGAATTGCGTAGTATCACACCTTTAAAAGTAGGGTAGCAACTTGTCAAGAAGGAATTCCCGTCCTGTAAGAGAGAATTTTAAGTTTCTACTGCCTCATATTGCTGCTACTTGCAGAACCGCTTACTAGGTATGTGAATGTTTAACCACTTAACCTGCGAGGACTGCTGCAAGCAGGTTGTTCAGCCATCCCGCCAGAGCAGTTTCTAACTGCAGAGGGCCCAGGTGCCCCACAGGCAGGGGCTGCTCCGACTGGGATGCTGGAGCAGCTCCCGCCTACAGGGCACCCTGGCCGGGGTTGAGTGTGGATACTTCAGCAGGGCTGGAGTGTGAGCACTTTCCGCCACCCACATGCCCCTTTAATCAGTTAACTGGTTAAACAATATGTTTAACCGTTAACTAGTTAAATGGGATTTTATATCCCTACCACTTACTTCCTCCTCTGTTTTGAAGGCACCAACTGATGGCTGGCTGTCTTGTTGGAAATCATGAAACCAGACATGTAGGGGTTTACCAAACTGTTTATTATACAGTCACACTTCTTTCCCTCAGACAGTAAATTCATTTATCTGCAGTACTGAACACATGCTATGCTGTCAGTTCTTTAATGGCTAGTTTCATTGCATTTTACACAACCACAATACCATAAACAGCCATAGCTATGCTTTCATTTAAGAAGAATCTCTAGATGTGCCAGTGTAAGCCTACACAGAAAAGTTGTATAAAAAGGAGGCTGTACTGCTCAGCTGAAACTTTTCTACCTTAATACTTCACACTGGACTTTGAGTGAATCAAGAATATTATTTCATAGACAGTGGCCTCTGATGAATGCTGAGGAGAAGAATAGATCACTACTTTAAATTTCTCTTAAAGTGTATAGAAGATACTTAAGCTCATTACTCTTCTGATGAGCAAGACAATTTTCCTTTCACAGCAAATGGAAACTGCATCTGCTTAAACAATCTTTCACTTTTGTTTGCAGTGTTAGAATCATATGGCAATTTATTCCAATATTTGACCACCCTGACAGTTAGGACTTTTTTCCTAATGTCCAATCTAAACCTCCCCTGCTGCACTTTAAGCCCATTACTCCTTGTCCTGTCCTCAGAAACCAAGAGGAACAAATTTTCTCCTTCCTCCTTGTGACACCCTTTTAGATATTTGTTGTTGTTGCTGTGTGGTCCCAGGATACTAGAGAAAGAAGTTGAGTGAGGTAATAGCTCTTATTGGATCAACTTCTGCTGGTTGGTGAAAGACACAAACTTTCAGCCACACAGAATTCATCTTCTGGTCAGAAGTAGGGATGTGATAGTTTAAACACTGAAATGTGAGCATCTGCTCCTATCTCTTCTCTCCCCCCATGCTGCTGCCTCTGTATCAGGGTGGGAAGCTACTCCACAGTAGCCTGTGCTCTCAGGGAGGCAGCTTAAAAGCCAGCTTCCACAGAGCCAGCTCCCCACTCTGTGTGAAAACATGTAACCGCTGAAAATGGCATCGGTTACACTTTTACATATATATAAATAAAATATTTAACATCCCTAGTCAGAAGAGCTCTGCATAGCTCAAAAGCTTGTTGCTTTCATCAACAGAAGTCGGTCCAACAAAAGATACTACCTTACCCACTGTGTCTGCTTAAACAAGACTGAACATGGCTTTATTTGCTTGGCTCTACACAAGACAATTATGCAAATTTTCTGCAAAGTAGCAGTGACTTTAGAATAGAAAGTTTCACTAGATTCCATTCTGCTGAATATATTTGTCTAAACAAAGGTTAAAAATTAATTATCCGGTGGGTAAGTCCATTTTTTGCCTGCACAGTTAACCATCATATCACAAATTGAAATCTATTCAAACTCCCTATGACATTTTTGACTTTGCAAATGCTAAGAGTGGCAAAAGATTGGAATACATTTAGTACATGTAGCTGCTCTTTTTGTTGCCTTGCAATGAAGGATAAATGTGCAAGAATGTTTTGACCTGTTTACAACCTATGCATGTTTAATGCAGAGTATTACAGTTTTTTTCATTTCCACCATAGAGCCATGGACTTGTTAAAACATATGAAGTGATTGTTGATCTTCGTTTAAAGCCAGTATCCAGAAATATTGCATCTGAATTCTGATGTGTACAACTTTAAATTATATTTCACAAGGTGCTCTTTCTGAAAAATTCCACAGAATAGAAAGTGAAGCCAGAATTCTCCATGTGTTTATGCTTCTGTGGTGTTAATCCTGTGGAGTGTGTGTCTGCCACAAGAGATATCATTAAGGATGGCTCAAAAAGTACAATGTAGCCTTCACATGCTAACTTATAACCTTCAGTATTTATTTTATGGGAGATGATGGACCAATTTGGACTGCAGAGTTGTTCTTAAACAAGTTACATGCCTGAAGTATGGGTCCATGATTAAGTCCTGAGTGGGACATGTGCAACTATATGGTTCAGATTCATAATCCACCATAGCATATTTTTTTTCTTAAAGTCCATTCTCTCTCCTGTTAATTTTGACTGCTGCTCATTGAATATTGAACTGCTACGTTAGCACTTATTTCTGTCTCCACCATCTGGATATGCATATGCTTGTGAACCTCTGGGAAAAAGTGAAAAATCAATCTTCTGCAACTTGTTATTGAGGTCATAAAGAAAATGCTGGTCTGTGTGTTTTCTCCTTTGACAACACAGATTACAATTTGAAAAACTAAAAGGTCTGAAGTTTCCAGGCTGAAAAAAGGTTGTGCATTCCTGAGTCTTATAATATCACAGTTGGTTCTGTTCTCAGCAACATCAGGTGAACTGATTCTTTTCTGATTATTTTATTTTTCAGGTATTCAGAATGAATCTGGAAAAGCTCAGCAAACCAGAACTATTGACGCTATTTAGTATCCTTGAAGGAGAACTAGAAGCAAGAGATCTTGTCATAGAAGCTTTAAAGGTATGTTGTAAGTACCTAAAATGCTACCATGTTCCTGAAAGTCATCCCAAGATGGAGTTCAGCAGTAATGATACATTACTGGATATCAGCAGTGTTAGATAGTCAATGCTATATAATGATCAATATCTTGGAATTCATTATCAAAAGTTGCCTGCAAAAGTAAGCAGTAGAGTGTTTAAGCTAGGGATGTGAATGGTTAACCACTAAGCATCACCCTTATCAGATGATGCTTACCAGTTACGATTAATGGGCAGGGGCTGGAGCAGCCTCCTGCCTGCCGTGGGCGGAAAAGGGGGGAGCTGCTACTCCATCCCAGCAGGAGTAGCCCTTGTCCATGACAGGTTCAACCTAGTGCACCACAGCCAGGGGAAATCCACCCTAACCGGAGCAGCGCCAACCCACGATGTGCCCGATCTGGCCGGAGCAGCACGCCGTGGGTGGGGGCACTCCAGCCGGTCTGGCGTAGCCCTGGCCTAGCCCAGCCCACCCAATCCCATTTAAGCGGTTAACCAGTTAAACATAACATTTAACTACTTAAACAATTAAGTGATTAAATGGGATTTTACATCCCTAGTTTAAGGGCAGAGCGCAATCTAAATGTCAGTACTTAGTTTTTGATAATGAAACTGCTCTTGATTCTGTATCAGGAAGAATTAAAAGGGTTAGTCTTAAACTTCTTAATTAAATGTTTCATGTGTCCCTGTTTCTTCAGTAAGCAGAACAACAGAGAAAATCATCTGTCAAAATCTCTCTGGCAGGATGACTATTTTGTGTCCTAACAAGCTGATAGCAATTCCATGCTAAGAATAACATAGTACCAATGGGATAGTAAGGCTGCGCCTGCACTACATGTTCGGATTGTGATCCCTTTGCTTGTGCATATGTATTCGCACTAGTTCTCCTCAAGTTAGCAGGAGTTTAAATAGCAGGTTACTCACAGTAGTGGAAGCAGCAGCACAGCTGCTGCTACCATTGTTACCACAGCTACATTGCTATTTATGTGCACACTGGCTCTCTTCAAGAACTCATAATATAGACGTAGCCTAAGCCAGATGCTCTCTAAGACTATACGTAGGCTTGTTATAGCTATATGAAAAGCATTCTCATATTTGTTTTTATAGTATTTTATGTTACCCTACTTTCATGTAGCATGCATATTAAGCTGATAGAAAAGAATGAGCACCACAGCCTTCATTGCCTGTGTGAATGATGCTCAGTACTGTTTTGTTGGAGCTGGACAGTGTGCTTGAGAGTGAGTAGCTGATATTGGGGCTTATGTCCAGGCTGAGTAGCTGAAACTCAACCCTGAGATGGAATTAATGTTCCTGGAGAGAGGCAAGCAATCAGATGAAGTTGCAAAATTGCATATGTCCTTCAGTGGAGTAATTGATTCATCGCTTGTTACTTTGTCACAGACTGAAGTCCTGAGATGTCTAACAGTATCTGGATGGCCTTTCTTTCAGATACAGGACCTTGTCATCCTTATTGTGCCTTTGTCCCTGTGCAGTACATCTGCTTCACTGCATTAGCATGTGTTGACGAAGACTACTCAATCCTCAGCTGGCCTTTGTAGGGATCGCACTATGACTGTTCTTTGTTACTCCATTATTTGCATTATTTTCCTGTTTGTCTCTGTGCAGTGGTTGAAAGTGCTGATTTTGATCTGTGGTGTTTGTTTTGTGTATCCTCTGTGTTGTATCAGGACAACTACAATTGTCCAAGGCATTCAAGTTAAATGAGAGTGCAGAGAACAGGGTGTTCTCAATGAGGTGTTCTTAGCTGTGATACTGACTCTTCCAGTTTGTCAAGCAATCTTGATCTATTATTCCACAGAGAATGTTTTAAAATTAATCTAGTCACTAAGGTATTTTGTAAGAAGGAATATTAAACGAGAGTGAGGGAGTGGGACTAATGAGGCAAAAATGTTGTGGCAGGAAAAAATTAGAGATGTTCTGTGAGAGCTGATTTATAGCTAGGTTCTTCATTCCTTTCCTAGGCCATGCTGTCATTCCAATTAGTCACTTTACGTGGTCTACTTTGTCTGTTGTAAATCATGCAAGTGGGTCATCTCTTTCTGAGTGGGTGACAAAGATTAAATACATCTATCTCAAATCCTCAAGGTAGGATAGTCATGTGGGTTTGCTGTCTGTATTGAAAAAGGCTCTTTTCCATTGACTAAGTGTAAAAAGCTTCCCTGGTTGCTTTTCTGCATGCTGTACATTCTAAGGTAACTGCAACAATTCCATGCAACAATTCTGAAGTGAGGTGTTGTGATATGTGTAGTCTAAAATGAGAATGTCCTCTTTCTATTCTTCCTCTACTAACTTCCACCCTTTTATGCTGCTTCCCCATTCCTCTTCCCTTTTATTTTTTACCATACAGGCTTGTATATATCTATATGTATTTTTAAGGAACTAATCACTATACAGTAGTATCTAGATACTATTATTAAAAGTCAATATGGTTTTGTACTTGCATGATAGTACTCTTGTATTGCGCATTGGTAGGAGGTTTACTGTGGATACCAATGGAATAGTCCTATAGCTTAGCATGAACTCTGCATTTTGCTGGCAAATAAAAGAAGTTTGGTGTGTAGTATCTTAAAAGCTGTACCTTCACTTCCTTCACATTTGATTCATTCTGAACCATCCAAAACTAAATGACTTTTTGAAGGTTATCAATATGCTTCAAAGAGAGAACCCCATGAATGGTTAGTTTTATAGCCTGTTCGTGCTGTGCTGTGCATTATAATGCCTTCTGGTTCTATTGGAAACAGATGTTTAGGTAGTTATATCACATGTTTTCATAAAATATTGCTTTTGTGGCACTAGACTAGTTTTATTTACTGCAAACAGCTTTTTTCATCTGTAAAGCTCTGCCCCCAAATAGGGAGAACACCCAGGGAAACCACAGCTGTAATTAAGAAAGCATTTTGATAAGAGTGGAAATGTTGTATTTAGTCAGCACGTGTTTTTTTGTTTAGGTAAAAGTTATCTTTCCAAGGCGCCAGCACTGGGCAAAATGAATGAAGTGAAAAGAAGCAATGTAACATTGCAGTCCTCTCTGAATTGCACTAGACAATTGGAAATTGAATTTAAATTTGTATACACGTTGAACCTCTCTAATCCAGCACACTCTGGTCTGGCAGCATCCATCATCTGGAATAATTTTAGTTAACAAGATGGCCACTTATCATGGGTGTGGCCAAATTTCTCACAATTCAATAAGGTTTGCTTGCAGCCTGGCGCTCAGTGGTCTCTGCTGTTATTTAACTTTAATTTACCCCTAAATGTCTTCTAAGAGCCCAGGAAGCAGTAGAATTGTTGGTAATATTGCTAGACCATGTTGACCTCCCATGGATTGGCAAATTCCCTGGTTAGGTACCGATCAGGTCTCAGGGGTGCCAGACTAGAGAGGTTCAACCTGTAAAACAGAAAGATGCCTGCTATTCTCCATTCACCAGATCGTTTGATTTGAAATGAGATCTGGTTTGGTTCAAATTTAGGGTTTTCCCTTATATGTCAGGCCATCACCTCTTTAGTTCTTCACAAACTGTTCATGCTATCAGTGATGATTATTCTGTTGCTGGCACATCACATGTTTTTAATGGACAGAATGGTTTTTGTCTTTATTATTTTTAGTCTTTTTATTGTCCTCCTACTTTGTGCAGGTGTAAATCTCTGTGATTTGTTGTAGGAGATTTCTCAGGTACAAAAATATTACTCTCTCTTTGTGAGGGAACTTTTATTTCATCATCCGTTGTATTGCCTTGGATTTAATTTTTCATAACAATTTTGTGACCTGAAGCAATTACCAAGTGTACAAAATTATCCTTAAACTCACCGTTTGGAGCAGACATCTTGTTCAAGTCATCTGGCTACATATATCTTAAGAGGGAAAATACCAAGGAAGGAAAGCAGTAATTGTTTGGAAGTAGTACAAGCCCTGAGATGAAATGTGCTTTATTCTTTTCAATAATTTTGAAGTTAGAGGAAACTGAGGTATTTAGAAAGGTGGAAATGGAATTGACAGGTTATTAAAATAAATAGTAGAATGTGACCACGTTCAGTATTAAAGGTTGCTTCAAGTTGGGTCGTCATAACTTGTAGTGTTATAACTTCAGAGATTTGAAAACTAGAATAGCATGTTGCTTGCCTTCCTGCAGTGTTGACTTTGCTAGCTTTCTTTCAGATGCCTCTTTAGCCTCAATCCAAGTGTGCTGAAAAAGACTTGGATCTAAAGGTCTCCGTTGGACTTTCTTCTTACATTTAGACAGTGTCTTGGCTTCAGGTTACCTGTTAAATTCTCTCTCCAGTTATATTATTCTGTAAATATATTTAGTTTGTACTTTTCTCTACTGCAACAATAATTAAAATGGATTTTTAACCAGAGGTGAAGTGTTTGTGATCAGCATAAAAACATCCAACCAAAATTTGACAAGTATATTTCAATAATTAACAAATTAGATGAAAATATGATTTGCTCATGGCAATCACCTAATGTACAGTGGCGACAGTAATCAAATGAATTACTCTCCTAGGTCTAGTAAATTATCAGTTGTAATGTGATTCACAGCTCTCCCCGTCCCAAAATAAAAGTAAAGAGAAAACTGAATTTAGTCAGAAAAGAGAAGTACAAACGTTTTTGGTTCAGAATTAGTTTTCACTGTGGTTCCTCCCGGGTACTACTCTTAGGGAAATGAAAATTGCTGTCTTTTCCACTGGTTTATTAGTGGAGTAGGTGGGTGGAAATCTGTAGGTCTCCCAGCAGTCTTTTGTGCCTTGATCCTAGAACCTAGAGTTACTACAGTCATAACTAAAGCTGGCCTCCATGTTGGAAGGATACATTTGGTACCCTTATGAACATATTATATATGTTAGAGAGAAAAATCACAAAAGCTACTTTAGTCTAGAAGCTGGACAAAATTTGAGCAGCAAAAAATTTACAGCCAAACCCAGTCCAAAACTCTACAGCTCTCTTTTAAAAAAACAAACAAACGG